CGATATGACATTGTTGCCATGTTTCGCCTTACACCTTCAGCCAGAAACACCATCAACCAAATAATCTCCTCCCCCTATTAATGAATGACCCCCATTAATAATAAATGCAAATCCGGGGCCCGAGACCAGATTTCCACTCCGCACAATTGATTTTCCATTGCGCCAATACTAAACCAATACTAAAGTCTTGGAATCCTTATGAGGGGGAACTTTTAGCAAGCTTCCAGCCTCACTTTTCAAAAGGTGGGTTCCTCAATTCCCCAAAAGGTTGCTTCCCCAAAAGCTGGCTTCTCAAAAGGTTGGGTCCTTTAATTATTGGGGTGTCTCTCAAAAGCAAACATGTCCCCAAAAGCTGTCTAGCTGCGACTGTCTCTCTCCCGTACATGCAAACAAATAACCAGTAAACTGAAAAACAAATAGAATGATACATCAAATTTCCTTATTAAACCGCTTCCTCGCGGAGCTTACAATTCAATCCATTTCCTCCAAATCCTATGTGAACCCTCACATCGTCGGAAAAGCAAAACAGACCCAACCCCAAAAACCCCAATTAAAAAAAACACATTTTTGGGGGGATTTATTTATAATAGGGGGGGGCGTATTTATTAATAGGGGGGGGCGTATTTATTAATAGGGGGAAGAGATTAGCTACCTCATCTGGCACAATGGGAAGTTTAAAGACCGCATCATGTCGAGTTAAAAAGTCGGTGCGGCAATCAGTCAGCGGATGTGCACATGTCAGCTTCTTTTCTTTAAAGCAGGTACTAGTACGAGTGCATGTTTCCAACAGCCGAAACACTCCTGTGCCCTGAAGCCTCTGCAAACGAACTGAATGCCAAAGAACAAACCCAAGGCCAAGAAAAGAAAGAAGAAACAGCAAATGCGACCAAACAACATATAGAAACCAAATGGGCAAACGCACTCATACAACAGGCGCGGAGGCAGGTCCTTGTGGTTGAGGCCTGTCCATGAGACTGGCATTCGCTTCACCGCCACAAACTTGCCAGTGGACAGCTCCTTCCTGAGAACGAACGCTGCGCATTCTGCAAATCTTCCTCTCGATGAACGAGATGATGACAAATCACGCCAGGAGGCATGAGCTCCACTCTCCCCTGGTTGCGTGCAGCGTTCTGGAGCAGCCGCACCTCTTGGAATCCTTACAGGAGGATTCGAGGCGGCAAGCACTCATAGTCTCCGTGCCCTGGGGAAATTCCAACAAACTGAGACGGCCATATGTCTGCGCTTGACTTAGGCGTCTTCAAGCATGCCAAACCCTGATTCGAGAAGACAGCGAGCACTGTTGGCTTGTCCAAGCACGATCAAGCACGGCCTGCAAGAAGGTCTCCAAAGAGGGCCACGCCCGTCATTCTTCTTGAAACAGGGGTTCTTATTGTCTCCCGCCATTTGCACATCACTCCAAAGGGAAACTCAAACCCCATTGGCCGAAAAGGTGATGTGCAAGCCAACCAAACGGGAACATACATGGACCCAACGAAATGGGCGACAAAAGGCAAGCCTTCCAAATACAAATTGGACAACGGCAGATGAAAATGTGAACGTGGCTCGAAAACATTCTAGCTGGCAACTCAGGGAAACTCTATGAAACTTCTCTGCATCGTTAAAGGGGTGCCTTGCCTCTGTGCAAATTGTGTAATATATATATATATATACATATGTGCACACAAAGCTCTGCAAAGCTATGCATCCCGGCATGCAACCACAGAACTCGGCTATTGTGAACCAAGCAAACTGCCTCAAAAAAACCTTTGCGCCAAATCCTCTCCCTGCCTACCCTTGATTCCACCATTCTGCGTGCCAATCCTCCCTGCTGGTTTCTGAATTCCTCAAAAGCCTTCTCCTCCCCTCTCTTTCCCTCTCTCCCATCTTCTTGTGTCGCGCCCAGCTGCGCCCTTCCTTCCAGCGTTTGACGTCGCACACCTGGATTGAAACGGGCTGCCGAAAACTTCCCTTCTTGACATCGGCAATCATTCTGTATGATTCGTATTTCCCCAATCGGCGACAAACGGTGGCTTTCCTTCCCGAGGCATCCTGACATCGTTTCCTGTTTTCATGAATGGACTGAATGGACTGCTCCGAAAAGTCCAAGCTGGTAGAAGGATTTCCTAAAAGCGCAAATAACGCGGGGCGTAAGGCATGGATTTGACATGACTAACACCATGGACCTACCACCAGCACCGCCTAACTGCGTCTTGGCAACACCCTGGACTGCGCTCAGAACCCGGACAACATCACCACCCCTGCACTAGCAGCCACTGCCAGCACCCAAAGAATATCCACCATTCACGACAGCATCCCAATTAAACAAAAAACATATATTGAGGCGAACAGGAAACCGAGAAACTAAGGAGAGGGAGTTGCGGTGGGAACTCGAGCCTTCTCAATGCAGGTCTCGAGGTCGAGAATCTCCGCCTCTGAATGTCTGCACGAGGAAGGGGATTCGGACTCGCTCCAGGGCTCAACCTGACGGCAGAATTACGGGACTTCCTACGAAAACACAGCGTCCTTTAAAGGAAGCCACTAGAAATCGCCATGAAACTGCCATGCTTGGTCCTCCTAAGCGAAATGCAAGGAACCCGGGATGCTGGCCACAGGTCACCCTCCCCCAACTCACAACACGACAAGCCGCAAGGGCTCATGTGCGGGAAACTCGATGTGTATGACCCCTGCTGCCAAGGCCGGTGGCGTGAGAATGGCTCGCTGACTTGAGATGCAAAGGTCAACAATGGGCGGCTATGGCGGCTGAAGTTGTTGCGTCGATCCGTGTGAAGGCTCAGTTGTGCAGTGGCACCCTGTACCTTCAGTTTGCTACGGACTCAAACGGACAAAAGGGGCCAACCCTTTTAATTTTCCCCATGGTCACCAGGCCGCACCAGGCCCATGATCGTGTTGCTAATGGTGCGGGCAGGCCGCTGTAGATGGTGGATCGGAGTCGCCTGCGGCAAATTGGGCAGCCGACAAATGGGTTTCAAGGGGTTATGATTGACTTGAGCTGAATGCTCGAGACTGGGCAGGTGAAGAAGTACTCAGATCCAGAGTTTGAAGCGTTTTCGTTGCTCAGGGTGCCCTTTTCATTCTCAGCTTTCTTCTGACGTATGGTTCCCGGGCCCTTCTTTGAAAGAGAGCAGCCCTTGAGCAAGCAGGGTTGGCTGAGTGCAACAGGCACATGTTCTTCGTGGCACATCTTAATGACCTCCAATTCACCCAGCTCAGCGCGTCCCGAGCCTCGAAGGGCGCCAAACAATGACACTGGCTCGAACGACGCCTGGCCCCGCTCGGTTTGTACGGGATGCTAAAGCGCCTCACCCTTGGGACATGTCTGAGAATCTTCAGGTAGTAGGGTGCTGAGCTACATAGGCGGGGTCCTAGTCCTTTCCGGGTTGGACGGGAAAGCTGCTGTTTCCACGTTGGGCTTCTAGGATTGAACAACCAAGGGTGGCAATGTGAAAACATCAGATATTTTAGGAACCCTCTGCCAGAAATTCAACAGCAATCTCCTCGATGGGAAGGGGCTTCAAAGCATTCGTCTGCCTGCAGTCAGCCAAAAGCAAGAGCGCTTGGCGCAAGGGACGCCCTTCACAACATCTTGGCAGCTTAGCAGATGTCCGCTTGCTGCACTCCAGCGCTTGTGCGCCCGCACCCGCACCTGCACTCGCACCCGCACACACGCGCAAGCCTGCGCACAAACAGACAGACAGACAGACAGACAGACAGCCAGCCAGCCAGCCAGCCAGCCAGCCAGGCAGGGGCTGGCAGACAAACAACAGCCAGCGAGCCAAACAGCCAGACAGGACGCACAGACTCGGCGCACGACACGCGCAAGCGTGCGCACAGACACACAGACAGACAGACAGACAGACAGACAGACAGACAAACAGACAGACAGACAGACAAACAGACAGACAGACCGACCGACCGGCGGGCGGGCGGGCGGGCGGGCAAACAAACAGACAAACAGCCAAACAGCCAGGCAGGCAGGCAGGAAGGCAGGCAGGAAGGCAGGCAGGAAGGCAGGCGCAGACAGACAGACAGAGACCGACAGACAAACAATCAGCCAGCCAGCCAGACAGAAAGAAAGACAAAAAAACAATAAACAAAAAACATACAGAAAAACGCACAATTGCGCACGCGCACGCGCGCACGCACACAAACAGGAACCCACCCACGCAGGCACGCAGGCACACAAACATGCTGTCGCATGATGTGCCCGCGGCACGCTGCTTGGGCTAAACCTCAGGTTGAAAAAGCCTGGAAAGGACTGCAACGTGACATAGTCTGCACACTTGCCTTGTCCTTGAGGTTTCTTTTTGCCGCCAAACGCCCCTTCGAGCTTCTGGGCCTCGAGCGGGTCGCACCGATTGGTGCTGCCAATGCCAATGGCCTAAAGCCTCCAACCCACAAGTTGGCCCGTGGCCGGTCGGCCGTCAGCCAGCCACACAAATGCAAGGCAGTCAAGACGCGTGTTGCCAGAGCGCTCCTTGGCGGTCTCCTGGAAGCTTGCTGCAAAAACAGCTTGATGCCGAGTTGGGGCTATCTGTCTCTCTTTAGCCTCTTTTTGATTTGTCTTCTTCAGCCGCTGTGCATTTCGTCTGCAGCATCTCAGGCGCTTTTCTACAACCTTGCAATCGTGATGAAATTGCTCCCCCTCCCAGGCGCATCGTTTCTTTAAACTCTTTTCTTTTTGGACTCCAGGGGTCCACTCAACACTTACTAATCAAAACACACGTCCGCACAAACGCAATGCGCGCATGGCACGGGGCCTGACTCTCCATGCAGCGGATGGGCTGCATAGCGAAAACTGACTTAAAGAATTTCATGGCTGGCGTGAGTGCCAATGCCACAAGGCCCGGAGTCTACTTAGCTCCTTCCTTGCCCTTGGAACCTAAAACCTGCGCGCCACCGAGATTCACTGCCAACACGCCGTAGCTGCCAAGCTGCCGAGGCAGGGAAAAACACTCTCCCAAAGGTTTCCGGCACTTTTTCCCGCGCGCAAAGAGCACATTCAGGTCACATTCGCACTTCTGGAGGATGTGGTGTGAAACGCAAGCTGATCCACAGCTTCAATTCCCAATCTCGGTCTAGTTTGAGTTCAGCCGATCCACTTGAAACATTCAGTTTAGAAAAACAAACAAAGCACGAGAATATTATCCCGCGATCCCAGGCGCTTGGCTTCCTCCACCAGCATTTGGGCACAGGCTGCTTGGAGCCGTTCTGCGGTTTGTTCAGGGCTGCTGCTGGCCGACTCCTGGATGCTCTTCTCCAGGAGGTCGCAGGCCTCCTGGTCGCTGACCACGTCCCAGAGCCCATCCGTGGCAAGGATCAGCACGTGCCCCGCGGCCAGCTTCACAGTGGACACCTCGGGAGTGGCGCTCACGCCCTTGTCCTTCAGCCGATGGTCACCCAAGGACCGCGAGATCGCAAGGTCCTTGTTCACCCTGCCATCAATGACCTGAGCCAATGGGACCCAGAACTCGGACCCGGAAAAGGGATGTCCTTTCGTGCTGCCTGAAAAGGGCCCTCCGAAAAGGATCTTGAGATATCTTAAGCCTTGGCATGCCCATTTGGCCAAGCCCCACCTTGCCGCCTTCGGCTGCAACTCGCTGGGCCTCTGCAGGGTCTGAGGGCCGGTGATCCCTGGTGATAGCTCTGGCGCACCCGTGGCCATCAATCAAGACAGCCCTAGAATCCCCGACATGCGCCACATGCAGCCGCTTGGAGGATTTGGTCTCCTGTATGAGGACAACTGTGGCTGTGGTTCCGTGGTTCCATGCACCATACATCCCCAGCTGACTGTCAACTTTTAAGAAGGCTGACTGCAGCGCATCGGGTGGACTTCCTAGCCTCTTCATCTCCTGCACAATCTGCTCGTGCAGCCGCAGCTCACAATAATCCACTGCCTCACGGCCGCCATGGCCGTCATAAACCGCGAAAAAACCAAACTTCTCACCGCTTGTGCGGGACACGGCTTCGAATGGGTCCACAACCTTTGATCCGTCCTCCATATAGGCTCTAAAGGCCTTGTTGTCATCCGAAGCAGAGCTGACAAGGGCCAAAGTTTCTGAATCCAGAGTCCATGGACGATCCACTGGCACAGCCGTTGGCGCAGCCGTTGGCAGAGCCATGGGCACAAATGTTGGCACTGCGTGAACATCAGCACCAGAGTCGCTGAGCTTGCTGCTGCTTTCCATCTTGCTGGTCTCGTTTGTTTTTTCCAGGCCCTGCAAAAGCCCTGCGAAGTTCATGTCGTCAGCTCCGTCCGTTTTCTCTCTGCTCACATGGCCCTTCTGTTCACGGGACCTCTCTTTATCTTCAATCTCCTGCTCCAGTTCATCCAGCAGGCCGCTCAGCGAGAAACCATCAGAGTCTGGCATGTGTATGTGTGCGCGTGGCTGCGCCGAACGGAACAGCTGCTAGAAATGTGTTTGGCTCATCAATGCATGCCGGGGCCTGTCATGAGTACAAGTTGTACAAGCGTAGAATGCAGGATTCCGGATGAGTGATTGCCTGTTTGTTGGGCTTTTTGCCGCAGCAAGGCAGCTTCAAGCATCCAAACACCTTGGACCTTGCTTGAGCCGGCCTGCGCAGAAAGTTCCAACTATGCAATTTAACGACAGCGGCGCATACTCCTGGTCAAACCCGACTTAGAAGTATACTTTTCGCTGGGCCCGGAACATTCTCCAACACAGCAAGGCAAAACTGGGCGCTTTCATTTTTCAGCCAGCGTCACTCATCGTGCAATCACTTCGGAAGGTCTTCTTCCCGGGCACGCCAGTTCTGTTCGGCGCCATAAGCCTCACACGTCCGGCGGCCTTTTTGGGAAACGCCGTCTGGCCACCCCTCAAAGATTACCGGGGTTAATGTCGAGCTCTGGAATGAAGGATGCATTTTGAGCCCAGGATATGTGCCCTTGCTCTTGCAGGTGTTGGTTGAAAACCGTGAGAGCAAAACGGGGTTTTGCGGGGGGCGTTGGTGTAAGGTGCTGCATGCATGCTCGTGTCTCAAGCTTGGTGGGATTCTGCCTCCGTAAACGCTTTCGGGCTGCCGTCGTCCAGTTCTTGTTTGAACTCTTCCTGCTTTGAAGCCTTTGGTCACGTTGACTCAGTTTGCATTTGAGGATGTTGAATCAGTTGACGGGTGTGTCAAGGCAAATCACTTGACCCTACCGTGCAGCCCGAGTCACGATTGATTCACGGAGCCTGCTTGAACAAACCTGCACGCCAGCGCCGATGCCCACACCCACCGGCACTAGACGAGTGGGTGGCGCCTGTTTCGGCCGCACGTCAATAGCCTTGGCAATTCAATCAACTGGCGCAAACAACTGTCGTTTGGTGATAGTCGAACGTAAGCCAACAAGAAAAACAGAAGTGGGATTCCTGCCCATGTCTCGTTGATTGAAGTGCCATGGTTTTTGTTGAAGAACTGGCGTTCGTGTCGTTTGATCCATATGCGTTCGTCCCACACAGTAGCACCAGTGACACAAGCTTGTAGGGTCCCCTTTGAGGGCTCCTGGGTATGCCCGTGCAAATGCATCCGGGGAGCGGCGATGGGCAGAACTTGTGCAGACTCCATTGCCATCAGCCTCAGTGAGCAAGCCGGGGGACCTGGATTATGTTAAGCTGGTCGAAGCTTCTGAACAAACTAATAGGTTTTCAAAGGAAAAAGGGTCCTGCTCCCCAAGTATCACTGAATAGCTCTCGTTTTTGTCCAGCCTTGCACCTTCGGCTCAACATCAGTGTGCTTATTACTTCACTCCCAAGCAACTAACTGAATGCTAGAAACACCACAGTTGCCATCCCATGTCATGAATTAAAACGGACAACTAGTCACGAGAGCAAATTCAACTGGGCCCGTCGCCCAAAACAAGGGAAAGCCATGGTTGGGCTGCCTACTAGCACGCCCACTTCCTGAAAAGCTGTGAGAAGCCTCCAACAACCGGCAAAGAAGTGCACCATTTGTCGAGGCGCTGGTACTCCGCCGGGTACGCGCGCTGCGCTTTGGCAGCCGGGCCCTCGCCGCAGAGTACATGGAGGTCGAAGCCCGGCTCCAGCAAGGTGGGGCCAAAGAAGTGGCGCCTTCGAGGCGTTTTTTGGAGCCCTCGCCCTGTGGGTCTCTCTTTTCGAGGATATCCTTTTTGAGTTTGAGGTTGTGGGTGAGGGAAGTTCGGAATGATTTTGGGTCCATCAGCTTCCCGCCCAAATGATCTTCTTCCCAGGTGTCCTGTTGCAACATCATGTTGGGTCCAACTGGGAAGTAATTAAAACACGATTGAAGCCTGCGCTGTCAATCTTGAACCAGCACGTGCAACGCCAACGGCCTGCTTTCCAAATATCACTGGCCTACCGACCTGCCAGTGCAAACGCCAGCGTCCCGCGCTGGCCTGTAGCTCCTCAGCTCCGACGTGGGGTAAGATGTGGCAAAAGCCACCAGGACAGCCACCACGGTCTGGTCGCCAGCGCCCGCAAGGGGCCACCCTGGACACACAAAGGGCTAGGCCGGCCTGCACAACCTGCTTCCCTTGTTCCCTTCGATGGAAGCTCATGAGCATAATAACCGAGGGCGCAAACCGATGCGGCTCTCTGGGCAACATCTCCATCCAGCTGTGGCTCCCTTGACTGCCTTGCTTGTAAGTCAATGAACTGCATTAAATGAGGTGGTGCCGACCACTATTGGGTTCTCGCGTGGTATGGTGGAAGGTTATGCCTCAATTCCCAGCAACACAAGAAAGAAACACAACCCAAATGCTTGAATTGCAAAAACAATCTAGGAAGTGCGGTGATTCCTTGAGCAATCGCCCATCCAAGATCCTCCCACAACCCAACTCTAGGACTGGCCCGTCCAACAAGCAATCAAGTTGCCCACAAGTCTTGTTCTCTCTGAGGGTTTGCACCGTTGACCGATTTGGGGAACCCCCTAAAGGAGGGGTTGCACACTTTTAGAGCCCCTGTTCAGACCTTTACTTCCCAATGGTCCAAACGGGTCATAAACTACCTGAGCTTTCGCCGACTATGACACCTTTTAGACTCTGGCGCATAACTTCCCCAAAGAACATGGAACTTCAAGGCAACCCCTTTGCGCCAATAAAGACATTGGACAACCCAACAAATTAATCTCATGATAGATTCAGACCTGGCTTGGGCAAAGCAAAAACAAAAGAAAGCCTTCTTCCATTTGGTTAAGACCCCTGGACAAAACTGACCAGAAGTGATAAATTCCTTTCACACACAACAAGGGAAAATATCACATATCCTTAAGCAAATGAACGCCTTTCAGCTGAGAGATGTGAACCATATGCCCGCCTGGCGGCATGAGCTGTGCCCGGTCCCCGCTGGCTGCCACCGTCCAGGGCAGCCCATCGCAACTCTCCAGGCGCAGCACGTCCTCCGTGGCCCAGGCGAGCGCCAAACGCGTGCGCTGCAGGCGCCAGTGGGCTGCTCCGCACCTTGGCCAGGCTCCGGCTCCAAATACTTGTTTGCTTTTCATTAAAAAAAAACCAAAAAAAAACATCTGGCAACCTTAAGATACCTTCAGCCTACCCACTCCAAATATCTCCAAATAACAGTTGGCTCTAGCCGTTCGCCATTCTGTGCAGTGACGCATTCTCAGAAGATAGGGACACAGCTCACACCCAATTTGTCAAAAGAAGGTGGCGGAAGTTTCGGGATCCCTGCCCAACCCCATGCCTGAAGGACGGGTCTAGGTATTCCAAACCGGTACCCCTTTTCTCTTTAAGCCTCTTTATGAGAGCCTTAGCGGCTGGTACCTACCTAGGGCGGTACTTGAACATTCCCGGCACCCAATGCTCCCATTTGAGGGGTTTTCCGCCAAACGCATACGAGTACTTGCCAAGGTAGGCACCTGCTTTGCCAGACGGGGGAGGGGGGGGGGGCACATTATGCCCAAAGAGGTCGCTAGAGTCTAGAGCCTAACCCCCGTGCTCCTTAGAAGCACATGGGCGTAACCTGAAGCTGAAGTGTGGACAATGTTGAGTTGATTTCGCCATCCGAGTGGTTTCCCTTTAGTTCCTTGAGTTGCCCTCCCCCAAAAAGGGTGCGAAACATGACACGCCCAGTGATGGACACCATGATTCATAATCGAAGCCTGGCATTGCAGGGGCCTACACAAACCAACATCACAAAATCAAGGAACCTCTTTATGGTTGAGACGACTTTAATGCCATTGGGGCGCACACACTCCGCATGGCTCTCCAGCAGTTTCAGCAGCTCCGCTGGCCGCGCCAGGCCGCCCCAGGGACTCAAACTGCCCACGTCCGGGGCGGGGAGCCTCAAGGCGTGCAAACGCTGCACCAGGCCAGGGTCCTGCTGGATGGAGAAGAACATCTGACCCTAGGGTTGGCGAAAAAGACCGGAGAGGACCCGGCCCAAAGCCAAAAAAACACGAAATGTATCAATTGTATGTGGGTCCTGTTAGGAAAGTTAAAATCTATTGGTTGCGCGGCACCCGACCAGTTGCCACGGGCCCTGACACCAAGGAAAAGTAATGCTTCACCACAACGGTTTCAACATGCTTTTTGCCAGGTGGGCATCTTCTGAATTCTGAATGGTGTGATAACGTGCAACCTGAAATGGAGAACACCACTCTTTCTGAGAATTTCTTCATTGGGTTGATGCCCACTTGTTGGATTTCCCCGCCTCCAAGTGGGCAATGCCTGCCTGAAAGGCCGCCAGCCACTGAGCGCTGCTCAGCAGCCGAAGCGGCAACGGGGTGGCCTGCAGCCGGCGGGCGCCCTGGTTGAAGATATTCCTTACGCGTCCGGGGAAATGGGTCTTTAGCCACTCCCTTTTTGGAAACAGAGACCCAAAAGCAAGACAGGGGCGAAAGTTCCTAAGGAAAGCAATGATTCGAGCCAGGCTTCTTCAGCGCCGCCGCCAGCGCATTGGAGTTTGAAAGCTCTGCCACCTGCCAGCCACGGCATGCCGTTGGCTTCCAGGCCAAGTCACGCAGAGTGCAGCGATAAGGTCGTGCCCAAAGTCGGGTCCAAGGGAGTTCTTCTGGATCCTCGTCCGCCGCAAAAAGCTCCCAAGGCGCCTGGTATATGGGACAAATGTGTACGCACCGCCGGTGCCTCAGGAAGTCGCTGGCATCCTGCGGAAGTTCCACTGGCCATCCTGGCAAATACACCTCGCATTCACAGAAGGGCGCCAGCGCATGGCGCCCGAAGGCAGCCCAAGCCCGGCCGCACACCTCCGCCGCTGCAGCGGTCTTGCGGACCCACACCACGCCACCGTCCGGAATGGCGGATCTCTCCTTCCCAAGCTCCAGGCTCAGGGGCCGGAACTGCTCCAGCAGGCGCGCAGCCTCAACCCAGACAAACCAAAAGCGCAGGAGACCTGCGCTACATGTCTCGACCGTCGCCCAGTGACATGTTTGCGAGCTTCTCATGGAAGGGAACAGTCTTCACTAAATAGTGACCGAGGCATGGCGAGCACGTCTGAGCTTCGTATGGTTTCTGTGTTGGGTATTAGCAGGGATAAACGTTGCGTGAAACGAACCGATGGCAGGTGCTCAGGAGGCTATGCTTATCATATGTCGTAATGTTCAGCTGCGGGCGCTTAAGTGCTTGAAGGCTTGGGCACTGCTCCTCCTCCTCTCCTTGATGTACACCTATTCCCACAACGCCAACCATCACCCACCATGCCGTCCTGTTGAATTTGCAAATGCCTCAATCGGCCAAAAGGTCCCTGGGCCCAAAGATGGTTGGTTTCCTCCTCAAGAGGGGGTCCATCCCAAACCAACCCCCCCCCCCCCGACCCTTCCCCCCCCCACCCACCCCCCACACATACACCCTTCCCCCCCCCCCCCCACACGTATACACACCTATACACGTGCACGCGTTGGCGGCCTCGTGGTGCTGGTGGCTGATGGCCACCTCCAGAGCTGTGAGGCCCGCGGCATCCCGGGCCCCCGGGTCCGCGAGGCGTTGGAGCAGCATCGCCGCCAGGGCCTCGTGCCCGTGCCGCGCCGCCAGGTGCAGCGGGGAGGACCCATGCAGCCGGGGCTTTGGGCCCACCTGAGCAAGCAAAAACCCGAGTTCTCCAGGTGTCTCCGAGTCTCTAGCCAAGTAAATTTGAATTTTGGGTGGTGCAACTCACTTGCCCACATTGGAACCCTGACCGACAATGGGCCAAATTGTGGCTACCTCACCTTCATTTGCCCACGTTTGGCCCACCTCCGCCTGGGCGTCCAGCAGTCGCCAGGCGACTTCCACCCGGGTCAGCACCTGGAGTTTCCCGATTGGTGCGTGTCCTGTTTTGAGGGAGCCCATTTTTCGGGTTGAAAGAGAAACCACATGCCACCCCCCGATTTCGCAGGTCTTTGCCATTTCGGGATTTTCCATGGAAGGGAGGCAAAAGTTGGTAGCCCGCTTTGCTAACATCCACTTGAGAAAACAACACCAGGCGGTTGCAGGAGTCACGGTACCCTCGCCTCCCGGGGAGTGGCGGCCGCCTCATGCAGCGCAGTGTACCCGAAGTGATCTGCGGCGTTCACCCGAGCACCTGCCTCCAGCAGTAGGCGGGTTGTTCGAGCCGCCCCTGCCCTTGCAGCATAGTGCAGAGGCGAGCGTCCGGCCTCGTCCAGCCATTGTGGCGCACAAAGGTGGCCTAGCAGGGTTGGGCTGAGGGCTGCTTCCACGGCTACGCATGCACACCTTTGACCCTTGCGAACTTTTCACTTCCTAAGAGGATCCAACATGCGCTAACATCTTTGTTTCCCATTGAGACGCTCTTCCGTCCGGAGACTTGGGAAGCGAGCTTAAGTCCCTTGCCCGGCTATTCCAGTAAGGGACCTTTGTCAGCGGTGAGCTCATTTAACCCCCAACTGAACTTGCCATGAATTGGCAAAACTATAACATGAAAGTTGAATGGAGGTCCCTGCAATGGAGCACCTAGGACATCCCCATATTTTGCCAGGGTTGTGTGAATTGTCCTCCCTTGCAAAATGCCACTGGGAGGCCTTCCTCAACACTAATACTCCATCGTCTTCAGCTTGTTTCCACTTTTGGCATCGACAATTCTTAGAGGGGACCCCATCAAGAAACAACTTGTTTTCATTGGGCTTTGAAAGGTGGAATCCACGAATCCACTCTCTGTCTCTCTGGCTCTCCCTCCCTCGCTCGCTCTCTCTCTCTCTCTCTCTCTGCTCTCTCTCCCTCTCACTAAAACACTAGAACACATGGTTAGCGATTGCCCCAAAGGGCACCCCAACTCGGGTTAAACTAAGTCGATCCGCTCAAAAACGAGTCTCCATAAAACAAGAACACCAAAACAAAAACCAATTGTCTGAACCCTTGAGGTGTCTTTTGGCTTTTGCTTCGAGCTTCGTACGTCGTTGGCTTTCAGCCTCCCAGCTTGGCATCGGCGGTGAGTAGCGCTGCCAGCGCCTCTGCCTCATCCTGGGCGCCCAGGCGGTGCAGCACTGTGCACGCGTGGAGGTCCCTCTCCAGGTCCTGTTGGGGGGGGGGTGGGGGTTGGTGTTTGGAGGGGTTCGAACAGGGTGTCAACTATCTAAGATGGTAGTCACCACCAAACCACAAGGAGGAGGAGAAGGAGCTTAATGGGGGATATGCAACTACTATACACCTATTTATTATACACACATATGCAGGGTTTCAATCCCGTTTTGCCTTAGGGTCGCGGGGGTGGTGGTTTGGGGAGTGGAAGCTATCTCGGACTTTTGGTTTTAACGGGATGTCACTCATGAGGAAAAAAACAAAGATATGAGCCCCCCCCCCCAACATGTTGAACAACGTGAGGTCAAAGCCAACTCTCCATACATCATTACTCTTGTACCCGCAAACAAATCCCGTATGCTTCAACAACGTTGGGCGATTCTAATATTGTTCTTAGCAATGGGTTCAAAAGGTTCTAGGATGCCACGAGTACAGGTACCAAGCTTGCTAGAACACATTTATTTGAGCTCCCTGACTGGAAGGGAAAGCCCCAATTGTATGGCGCGCAATGGAGACCTAAACAAAACCAACCACTTCCAGGGACCCCCCAAATCTGGTGTCATCTGATTAAAAGCACCATGCTTTGAAGCCCCTAAGGGGTCAAATGTGAAATTGGGTGAAAACCTCGGTAAGGTTTCAAACCAGACCCCCATTACGCTGTTTCCCCCATGGATGGCCATAGCAACTTTCGCCATTTTCCCACCAGGTCCTGGTGCCTGCTGGGCGTTGGCTCCAATGGGCCCCAGTTCCCCAAGGCAAAGGCCGTGCTTCGCCGTGGCCGCCTGGCAGTGGCGGGTCTTCTTTCCGGCCGCCGCGGAAGAGCGCCCTCCAGCATCATGGCAAAGGCCTTGATGAGGGCACCCTAGGGCCGAAACATGCCTTAAGCTCCCTGCTTGCCTGCCGGGGTTGCATTTGGCTGTGTTTCCAAATGAGGGAAGCGCCACAAACAAGCTTGGTTGCCCTGCAACTCCCTTTGAACCAGGTCAGACGGGATGAACTCTCCAAGAAATGCAGCCCATTTATCGGTCACCCTCCGGTCCCGCCAGCCCCTGGCTGTCAATGTTCGAGTGGCCGGCGTGAAGTCATGCACGTTGGCTCGTCGTCGCTTTTTCTCCCCATCCCCCCCGCTCGCACAACACGGGACGGACCTTTGCCCACATTGAATCGTGATCGTTGGCCGAACAAATGCCTGTTGGTGCCTGTTGCTTGTTGAAATCGTTGGTGCTGCATTGCAAAATGGGGAGGTGCAAGAGTTTTTGAGTGTGCTGTGCAGATATGTGACGTTTTGTGAACGCTTCATCAACCTGCAACCCTTCTTTGTGCATATCCTAGCAAGGTCGCTCTCACTTCTTCTTGGTCTTCTTCTTGACCACTTCCTCCTCGTCGTCATCCTTTTTCTTCTTTGCCTTTTTGGGAGGAGGCTCCGCCACCTCCTCTTCTTCCTGTTTTCTCTTTTTGGTTGCTTTGCCCTCCTTCTTCTTCTCCTTCTTCTTGGCAGTCGCATCTTCCTCCTCCTCGCCAGCCTCAGTTGCGCCGGCCTGAATCTTCAGCTGGTCCACAAAAATGTCGAAACATTGCCTTCCAGGCGGGGCAGCTGGGCAAACCGGGCTGGAGGAAGCGGCAATCGCAAGCATCCCCAGTGCACCATATATTTGGGCTCGCCAGCTTTTTGGAGAACCCCTCTTTAGTTGGGTTTGAAAGGGAAACCAAAGGGACACCAACCTTTTTTGTGGGTTCTCTAAAAGAAGACACATCCATTTCCGGCAAGGAGCTCATACGATAAACAAAACTTGCACTTCATGGGGAGCACTACGTGCAGAACTGGTTGACAACTCAAAGAGCGTGTTGTGAGCATTGTTTCTCGCGTGTCCCCTGCAAATCAAACAAAGTACCCTCAAAAAGTAATCAAACCCGTGGCCCATAGCGTCAAGAGAACACCTTACCCACTTACCCCATGTCATTTTTCCAGCCGGGTGAGACTGACACGACTGCGACTGCCACTGCCGCTCGCCCTCTGTCTGTTCTGTCCGTTCCGATGGCCTCCGGGTGGTGTCCTCCATGGCCTCCCAGGCGGGGTTGGAGCCCAGCAGCTTGCCCGCCTTCTCGTAGCTGGTCTTGGCCGTGACCTGCGCAAGCGCGCAAGCGCCCGCACCGCTGAGCCAGGGGAAAGAAACCCTCGCCCTTGGAAGTGGGGAGGTGTGCTCGGTCCATGGGGCACCATGCGGCACCATGAAATGGAGTTTCTTAAGGGCGTCCGCCTGCCAAATCGACCGTTTTGACGGGCATGGGCATGGCGCAAGCTTTGGCTTCAAATCAGCCAGCTACCCATTCTATTTTGCGCACATATTTGAAGAAGTGGTTGTTTGATGTTGATTGAACATGTTTCAAATAAGGGGCTGGCCCACCCCTCATGGTTTTGCTCTGTGCCACTTGCGAGTCCTAGTGCAGACCGGATAGATTGCCATGATACATGGTCTGGAAAAGGAAGACCCATAAACATTCCTGGCAGGAAGTTGAGGTTTAGACAATAGCCATGGTTCCTTGCGAATCGGCAATAGGGAAGAAGTGGCTGCCTTCTTCCTCCAACAAGGCCTTCTGATCCCATTTGCAGAAGGGGCGTCCAAAAAAGGATGTGAACAAATTGGGTGGTCCCTTGATCACCTGAACAGGGGATTCCCTTTGCCACACGCAAAAAGTGGCAACTTAATTCGAAGAAGGATACACCATGGCGAAGGATAACATTTTCCGCCTCCCGGCTCTTCTGCAGCAGCTCCACGAACTTCTTCCGGTTCTTCTTCGCCACCTCGGCTTCTTCGCAACAGGGCAGTGGGCGGGAAAGGCCATGCCTGCTGCCGGCCTGGGCCACGACCGTTTCAAGCCTGCGAATTTCCGAACCGTGTCCATGAACAGCAACTGGCCAACTCTCGGTGAAACGAGTCGAGCTGAACCTGGAGACCGGCAGAGATCTGAGGGATCGGAGACTTGATGTCTTGGGGTCATAGTCATAGAAGTTGGCGGAGACAAAGCAAGCCATTGAGGAGCGCGACCCGGTCGATGGCTGATTCTACGACAGTGCGGGTTCTAACGGCCGGTGATGCTGGGGATGCGGCCAACCAACCCCAATCAACTCACCGACCAAGCCTAAATCACAAACATTTGGCACATGCTGGGAATGCGGCCCAACAAGCAACCTGCCAACCAGCCAACCAGCCAACCAACCAGCCAACCAACCAAACCAGCCACCAGAGCCAGTTAAAACAAAAAAAACGGCTCCGCACCTGCAACGCATACCCAAATACGTCACACCCGGTGATAAATCACTCATAACCATTCATACCAGTATCAGCTCATTGTCGATCCCTTGAAATGCTTGTCGTCTTGCTGCGCAAGCATGGAGGGCACGTATGTTAGTGTCTCCTGCCGCTGCCTTGTCCGAAGCATGGCAGCGACAAGTACACTTATTTGTTCGCATCAAGTCAGCCGCCAAAAATCGGACTCCATCCCGATCCCGTTGTTCAGAGGTTGCTTCGCACTCGCACTTTGGGCCCAATTGAAATGTCGGGCCCACGGTGCCCATAGTTTCTCCCGGACAGTGCCCCACCCAAAGGGCAACCCTCCGCTTCAACCAAAGGGTTGAAAAACGTCAGAACCCAAAGGAGCAGCGTCATGAATTGCATGGGGATTTTGTTTCCTGAAGTTATGAAGGGCGGCAGTGCGTTTCTTCTGAGAACTCATTGCCAAATGCTTTTGCAAGGGGCTTTCTCCGCATCCTCCTCCGCCTCCTTGGCCTTCACCACCAGAGATTCGAACATGGACTTCCGATGCTCCTCCGCGATGTCGTTGAAGACCGCCTCGCCCTTGAGCTCACCTGTCAGGCCCCCCGGCAGTTGAAAAGTGCGTGCGGCCAAACAGGGGGAAGCCCCAACAAGCTGATGGCTTTCCTTTGGTTTCCGCTGAAGCCAACCTAAAAAAATAGCATGCTGCCAAGTGGGCAAAACACGGCTAACAAATAAGTTGGAGGTCAAAGGTCCACCCAAGGTGCCAAGCAACAGGTGTATTTGGGTGATCCCTTCAGCCCAAAAATCAAGGGCCCCCAACTATGTTTCTTTCCAACACCCTACAGTCCCCAATAAAAAAAAAAAAAAAAAACGAAGAAGTTACCCTGTTCATGTCTGAGTTACTTACCCTAAGCTCAATCAATCTCATAGATGAAGATGGCAAACAAATGATTGCCCTCCCCAAAGGTGGTGGAAAACACCTTGACATCCTTGAGCCTCCCTAGCCCAATAATGTGTTGTGTTCATGCCTGACCAATTTCACATCTCCATTTCAGTGTGCCCATCTGCACCCTGCACGGTGATAGGAGGTTGCTGGATTCAGTTTGTTCTCCGAGGGGTCCTTCAACGATTTCCGAGCTTGGCTGCCTGGCCGCCTACCGTACCACTTGCCCAGCCTTGCGGGTCATAGCTATGCTGTTTGCAACGCAGGCTGTGAAAAGATGATGTTTGCCAGGTCGCACACAATTTGGGGTGAACTTTGCAAGGAGCCTAACCCAGTTCCCTCCTGTTTAATGCCAAGCCCCTCCTTGGAACCACTCCCAGGTGGAGCTCGCAGTGATGACCATCCCTTTGGACTTGGCCAGCTTCTTCAGCTTGGTCTTGTCCTGCGAGCGCAAACCCATCAGGGCGTTTCAACAAATATGGGATCCAAGCGAGGGTCTACTCTTGGACAGAGGCACAAAAAATGGGCCCCGTGGCCCCGTTCCGGCCTAGCACTTGACCATGCCGCCAGTGGCAAAAACATATTGGATGTCGCTTGCTCTAATGTGAATGTGGACGAAGCCAACCTCTGCCTCAAACATGAAGAACCTTCCCACTGCATCGATGTGTCAACCAATGTCAATAGGTGGGGGTGGCACAAACAGGGCCCCATTTCTTGCTGGTGCCGGGCTGCGGACTGGATGTCCTGGTTGAACTTGTCCTGGAGCTCCTCCAGGAAATCATCGAACAAGTCGTGAGGAGTGGAGCCGGGCTGCGCAATGAGGGCAATGTAGCGATCGTCCTTCACCACCTGAGGCAACGCAACAAAGCAAGCTTCTGGTCGGGTTCCATGAAGCTCTTGACAAGCAACCACCCCTCCACAAGGAAAACACCAGCATCCATCGAGGACATACCCATTCAAAGCACCAACCTTCAAAACCGGATGCTGTCCGACGGACAAACCGGGCCTTTTCTGCATAGTCACCCCAGAAGGAGCTGGTGGCGATCTTCCCCTTGTCCCCATGCTCCTTCAGCAGCTCCCGGAAGGCATCCCGATTCTTCCGCTCCGTGCGGTACTTAGCCTTGGTCTTGTCCTGCAATTCGCGGGGGGGCCTCAGGTTTGCTTCTGAGCCGAGGTGAAGGGGAATCCTGCACACACCTTGCTCAAAAACTCCAAACCGGGAAAACAAAGAAAGCCGTGACTATGGCACTATGGGTGATTGGGTGTGTGTGTGTGTGTCCTGCAAAGGAATGTGGGGATTAGCTTTCTTGGGACTCAGAGGCCCCATTCCATTCCTGTAGCTGTAAAAACCATCAACCAGGTTCCCATCGTCCTTCAACTCTGCCTTCTCGGTCTCCAAGACCCACTCCTCCCAGGAGGTCAGAGCCTCTAACTTGGACAGCCACTTGAAGTACTCGTTGTCTCGCAGCGCGTCCTGCCCATGTAGTTGCTTGCCTCATTTCATTTCCTGTAAGATGTTTATACGACTTGGGGCTGGCACAGTGGCCTTCTTGATGCGTTGTCTATGCGGCCCAAAACACGCTGCATTCTCTGAGCCTCAGCCCGCCTGTGCATCCCGCCACCGGCTGGTCACAGAGAGCTTCTCGTGGTTGGAGTAGGCTTCCTCAAGGCTAAGGTGGATCAATGGGTCAACGCATGGTCAACGCAAGGACAGAATTCTTGATTTCATGGTGGTTGCCCTTCGATCTGGTCCCTTTTCTTATAGCCGCAAATCTCAATGCACCGGAAAAAAAAAAACGCATGGGTATATGAAGCAGCAACAGCGTCATGGCGTGCGCTTCCTAAACCCTAATGCGACAAGCGGGAGCAAACAAACAAGCAAACCACCCACGGATCCACCCACGGATCTATTCAATTGCATTCAATTAAACTCAATCAAACCATGTCAAGCCGGCCAATCACTCAGTTCATCAATATCTCCCTTCAATTCCAGTCATTTCGACTCAATTAACTGCCCACAAGCACAACCACAAGGACAACCAGCCACACGATCACGAACACATGACCAAAAACACACACGCGCACATTCTCGAAGACTACCACGGCCACCCAGGACAAAGCAGTGACAACCGCAAACACACAAATAACAACCGCAAACTAGAGGGTGGCTAGACGGTATCAAAGAAAGCGTATAATGTCTCCGACGGTTTGCGGCAATTGTGGGCAAAATGCGACAGGTTGATGCAGCGCGCCTGATCTTGCACAAACATGTTTTACTCCTTCTACACTTCAATTGATGGGGCATATTGCGGCCAGCTCCGCGTATACGACGCAACATAATGCAACCTAAGTAACTTGCGTTAATTATTCTGCATTGCCTTTGGCACAGATTGTTTGATACTGCTAAGCCACCCCTGACAAACACCAACAAGAGCAGCAAGAGCAACACAAACAGACCCCAAACAAATGACAGCATCGCGGCGCCAATGTGAGCGAAGCCAGGCGTCCTTCACCTTCTCCACATACTCCTTCCGCTGTTTTCGCCTATCCTCCTTAGTTTTCTTTTCATGCTCGTCCATGTAGTCATCGAACACCTCCACACCTCATTGCGTGAGATGCCACAAGCTTCATGAGAAAAGGGGAGAGGGGTCGATTTCTTTCTGGTGCTGCCATCACTGTCCTTTGGATGGAATTGAAACAAATAGGGTCTTGCAACTCCAAAACTCATAGGGATGAGGAGAATGGCTTTACGCCCAGGGTTATGCGGGCTCCTCAAATGTTTGCAAAACAGGCAGCCCGCTGCTGTGGCTCCATTTCGCTGCGCAGCTAGCGTCATTAGAAACAACATACGACATGCCAGAGTCGAAGCAGACTCATATTCACAATTGCAATCTTTGAGCGACTCGAGATTTGGACGGTCAAGTAAGCATGAGCTTCAAGAAAGCACTTGCCGACCAGGTCACGCTCTTCCTCCTCCAGGAGTTTGAACCACTCCTCGTTGTAGAAGTGTTCTGCTGCATCTTTGTACCTGGTGGTAAGCTTGAGGTCCTTCCAGGCAGTGAGCGCGTCAATGAAGTCGTCCTTGGAGCGTTTCCTCTTCTCCCGCTCTTCCTCTTTCTCTCGCTTCTTGGACTGAGTGATGTACCTTACTTGTGCCATGGCCCAGCTCGGTCGTATCTTTCTCAACTTGAACCAAGGGATGCTACTTTTCAGGTAGCCAAGAGACAGCGAACCAAGGGGGCAGGCCGTGATTTTGGTCGTGATCTTATCTTCACCGAACTTTCTGGAACTCCGCGATGGAATGAACCCTTTACCTGAGAATGGACAATTATTGCTTCTCTGGCCATACCTGCAGTGCAGTACAAGTACTTGGTCCAAAAGCGTCCCCAGGACAGCCGAAAAACAGGAATGAGAGACTGAGAGGTTCAGAAGAAAGCTCAAAAGGATGGTGTCGCTGAGATGCTCTGCAAAGGCCTGCTTTCTCTCCCCGGCAGCCGTGAGGGCGGAGAAGCGGCGATCTTCCTGTCAGATCGATTGGAGTAAGCTGGGGTTGGACAAACTGACACCCTTCAAGAAGGCGAGCGGCTCCCTTGCATGTTGAACAAAAATCCGTTCACATGTCCAATTTGACAAGCAGAGTTCGAAATCGACCCCCTTCCCGAGTGAGGAACAGTTCGTGCTATTGTACAATTTCCAGGAGATGAACAAGTTGAACTTGATCAATGAAACAACTGCCTCCAACCTGCTACCCAATGGGCGCAAAATAACCAATAGTCCGCAAGATGCCGCTGAGAAACAAACAACGGACCAGTTTTGACACGCATGCGGCAAGTTTAATCTCATGTCGCAGGCGCCTGGATGAGTTTGAGCGCCTCCTCCCACTTCATGGTGCTCTTCACGCCCTTCTCTTCCAACAACTGGCAAGCGACGCAATGCCAAGGAGTACCAAGCTTGATCCATGGCAATTACCTCAGCCTGTGCCGCCTGACACCTGGGGGCCTCACCCATCAACTCCCATCACTTCTGGGGTAACGTTGCCGAGTGCAGAGCTGAGCTCTAGCTCCCAGCCAAGCAACAACACTGGACGGCGGACACTTCGGATGTGTCTCTTGGTGCAGTTCCCTTCCCACCATTGGGCTCAGGTTCATGGCCAATGGGTGACTTCTTTATATCTTTTTGCGGTTCGAAGTGGGAGGCTCCCTTGCAACAGGCCTCCCTAAAGGCATTTCTCCTGTCTTCAGGCGTCTTCCACTCTGGCTCCTCCTGCTTTGGCGCCTTCTCCTTCTCCTGTCGTTTTTTTTCTCACGGCCCACCCATAAGCACATTGCCTGTCCGCGAGGCTGCTGTTGCTGTTTGCTGTTGGTGCATACTCGGGAAACCAAAAGACCCTGCCCCCCCCCCCACACACAAAACACAAACAGGTCTGTCGGGGCGTGGCCGCGTGGCCTGCAGCAAACCGATGAGACGGCTTCTTGGATTAGAACACCTAAAGAACACCTAAAGAACACCCAACTCAATAGTCTAGGGTCTAGTGGCTCAAATGGAATTTGCACGCAATGCAAACGAAACAGTGATGATTGCGTTACCCCTTGAAGCACCAACCCATCAAAAAGGGATGACTATGAGAAGACGTCAGGAAAACGACAGGAAGGCTACGGTGAGGGGGCAGGGGGCGGCGCTACTATCATATTTCATAATTATTATTACTATCATTGATTCCAAAACAATGGACTTTCTGTTGGCGGGGGGGGGGAGGGCACCATGATTCTGTCCAAAGCAATGGACTCACAACGATATCATGTTCAGGGAGGGATGGACGGGTCGCCTACAACTTTTTTCCAAGTATGAAAATGACAACTGGTTGTTTTCCGTTGTTTTCTCGCGTGCGTCCTGCACCAAAAGCAAGCTGACTCAAATAATCTTGGCAACCCGAATCTGATGTCCAATTGCCCAGTTGGAACAAATAGGGGCCCTGACGAAATTGAATCTTGAATGGTGCCGGGGCGCCACAAATGTTTTTTTCCACAATGCCGCAGGAAGCCTTGTTGAAATCTATCCAACAGTTTCCCTCAAATCCCCAGGCGGGTTGTTCGCTGGCCACTCGCTTGCCGGGGGGCGTCTTCGCTCTCATCCTCCTTGGCCAGGCCCCTCAGGCGCTTCAGCTCGATGGGCATCTCCCAAACCTTCGCTTGAGCCGTGTGCTCAGCAGGGCTACGGAAACGTTCGCTGGTTTTGTCCCGGTTAAGTTGATTCCGGGGGTCAAAATCATTCTCAAAATTGAACCTGTTCGTTTGGACAGCTCGCAAGTGAAGCCCTAAGGAAGCCAGCCATGTTCTTCACCCTGCTTCGGCTTTGCTCAGTTCGATCAGTCCCTCGTGTCTGTTGTAATTGAACACTTGTCACGGGCAAGGCTGAATACCCCACTGAATGCTAACAAGGGACCAAACAAATGGGTTCCTCCTCAAAAACTCTTTGCTTCCAGGTTGTGTCCCATGCAAGGTTTGATCAGTGCTGTTAGAGTAACAGTTGCCAGAGTAAAAAGACGCCTCGACCCTTGTATCTCCAACTGGCTCAGCCAAGTGGAGGCGTGACTCGTGGCATCTGCGCCGTTTGAGATCCGAGTGGTTTCAACCCAGGGTCGGCCAAAAATCCCAAAAACACCCACAGCTAAGACTGGCAATTTTCAAGTCAGCTGCCGGGCGGCACTTTGTTTGGTGATCGGGTTGTAGTAGTAGTCGCGGCCCGCTGCAGTCTTGTACCTGAGGCCCCGGGGGGGGGGGGGCAAGCAAGGACAACTTATGCTGAAACTTCTGCCTGGGACAAGGGCCCGAGAGGAAAGCATCTATAACTGCATTGCGATTGCAACCTCTTGCATCTTGAACAGATTTGTGCTGCAGGGGTGAAGTTGTCAATCATCCAGGCGCACCACAATCTTCCCTCGGCTTGGTGCGTTGCCAAACGTTATTCGATCTCACGCGGCAAAGCCTAGCAACACACACACACACACACAAACACGACAAGTACGTCCTTTGCGCATCCAGCGTGCCAACTTCACCTTTGACCTTCTGCCTAACAGCATGACTTGCCAGCGGGGGGCTCTTTCCAAACGGTGGTGTTGAGCTTCTCGTCCGTGTTCTTCAGGCATTCTGGCTTGTCCCAGCTCGACGCCTTGGTCACCTGCCCATGTAGCAAGCTGCCTTTAAGCCTTTGTACCGTTAGTTAGCACAAGTGTAGGGGAGTAGGGGAGCTCTGGTTTATGACGTGCCAGGCACCATCCTTGCCATTCCTTGGGGCGCATGCTGGCCTTGTTGTAGTAGTATCGCCGTCCATCGCTGTGGGTGTGCTCCGTCCAGTTGGAAGGCTCTTTGGCGGGGTCTGCCATGGCATGGACTGGCCAAACCAGTGCCAACTCTTGAGCAAGAAGCGGGCGCAAGATCCCACAAGCCTGCCTACCCCTTCTTCTCTCTCAAAGCTGTAGGAACTGAGTCCCATAGAGGACAGTGTCGGTTGTGACCCAGTGTGCCAGCCTTCCAACATCCCAGCTTGCACCTCACCACTTTCTCACCTTCCGTGTTTCAGCAATTTTCGGCGATGTGCTGCACCAGGATCGTTCCGGGACGCCCTGACAAAAAATCCCGAGTCCTGCTTGGCGGATGGCCCAGGCCCATGCCAGCCAAGGAAAAGAGCATGTTTTCAACTGCTCTCGGCTGAGGGTCATCAAATGTATCGTCCACACGCACTGCCCGAGGCCTGTTGGACACTGTGAAGCCAAACTATTGAAACCTCTGCAAACACGCCACGCGGCTTCGTGCCAAGCAGCACATTTGGATGTTCCGTCAGGCGGTTGTTCTTGCGGCCAGCTGGGCTCAGAAATCCCCAGCCTTTTGGACCGCTCGACGTGTGCAAGGCGGCCATCCCGCGTTTTTACGCATCGACACCAGCAGAGTCAACGCAGAGCATGCGCAAAAGAACCAGCGGCCAATAAGCAATCCTTCGCAAATAGACACGACCTGTGCTAGGAGACTCCTGTTCGGGCTCGAGAAAGCCGAGCTGGCAAATAAGGCTCCGGATGTCAGCCTTCTCATCGCCCTGGAACAAACGCCAGTCATGCCTCTGGAAATGAATCCATTGAACGTGCCATGCCATGTCTCTGCAAGCTCTGGCGCTAGCTGCAAGCTACACTGCCAAGTGTAAAGAGTCAAAGGGAAGAAGCAACCTGTATGACCAAGGCGCAATTCCGCTCGTGGCCTTGGCGTCTGCCTGCCAACGGGCGAACGAGCGCCAAACAAACCTCTGCTTGCGCTTCACCTGTGCCGTGTCCCGGCCACGGCAACAGTCTTAGCCTGAGGCTTCCACCTCCTCATCGATTCCCTCACTCCACCACACTCATCATGAAGTCCTGTCACAAACTGCAAATCACGGCAAAACCACATCAGCCACTTGCGACATCATTTTCTGCCGAAACCCCGGGAAGGTCTCTCTTCCAAGAGAACGATTCCTATTTATGCGAGTGGGTGTGCGTTTCCGATTACATGTTAACTCGCAAAGATGTATCACAGTCTCGTTCTGCCCCTTGCTGAACAAATTTCTCAACGAGAGCTTCCAAATTTGAAGAGCCGGCAACGCTCTTCTGCCCTTTCTTTCAGACATTAACCACATAGTTCCACTATCAAACCACACCGTGTCTGGCCCACCTCAACTGGACGGCGGACACTTCGGATGTGTCTCTTGGTGCAGTTCCCTTCCCACCATTGGGCTCAGGTTCATGGCCAATGGGTGACTTCTTTATATCTCTTCTGCGGTTCCATATGGGAGGATCCCTTGCAACAGGCCTCCCTAAAGGCATTTCGCCTGTCTTCAGGCGTCTTCCACTCTGGCTCCTCCTGCTTTGGCGCCTTCTCCTTCTCCTGTCGTTTTTTTTCTCACGGCCCACCCATAAGCACATTGCCTGTCCGCGAGGCTGCTGTTGCTGTTCGCTGTTGGTGCATACTCGGGAAACCAAAAGACCCTGCCCCCCCCCCCACACACAAAACACAAACAGGTCTGTCGGGGCGTGGCCGCGTGGCCTGCACGTGCCAACTTCACCTTTGACCTTCTGCCCAACAGCATGACTTGCCAGCGGGGGGGCTCTTTCCAAACGGTGGTGTTGAGCTTCTCGTCCGGGTTCTTCAGGCATTCTGGCTTCTCCCAGCTCGAAAGCTTGTTCACCTGCCCATGTAGCAAGCTGCCTTTAAGCCTTTGTACCATTAGTTAGCACAAGTGTAGGGGAGTGGGGGAGCTCTGGTTTATCACGTGCCAGGCTTGGGGCGCATGCTGGCCTTGTTGTAGTAGTATCGCCGTCCATCGCTCTGGGTGTGCTCCGTCCAGTTGGAAGGCTCCTTGGCGGGGTCTGCCATGGCATGGACTGGCCAAACCAGTGCCAACTCTTGAGCAAGAAGCGGGCGCAAGATCCCAACATCCCAGCTTGCACCTCACCACTATCTTACATTCCGTGTTTCAGCAATTTTCGGCGATGTGCTGCACCAGGATCGTTCCGGGACGCCCCGACGCAAAAAATCCCGAGTCCTGCTGGGCGGATGGCCCAGGCCCATGCCAGCCAAGGAAAAGAGCATGTTTTCAACTGCTCTCGGCTGAGGGTCATCAAATGTATCATCCACACGCACTGCCCGAGGCCTGTTGGACACTGTGAAGCCAAACTATTGAAACCTCTGCAGACACGCCACGCGGCTTCGTGCCGGGCAGCACATTTGGATATTCCGTCATGCGGTTGTTCTTGCGGCCAGCTGGGCTCAGAAATCCCCAGCCTTTTGGCTTGCTGCATCATGCGCACTTTCACTGGTATGCACCGGTTGTCCCGTGGGCCTGCAAGAACAGCCAGCTTGCCCGGGGATCGGGGGAACATGTAGTCCCATCCCCGCGCACGCTGAACTGAGCTGAACTGAGCTGGTGGACCGCTCGACGTGTGCAAGGCGGCCATCCCGCGTTTTTACGCATCGTCACCAGCAGAGTCAACGCAGAGCATGCGCAAAAGAACCAGAGCCAATAAGCAATCCTTCGAAAAATAGACACGACTTGTGCGAGGAGACTCCTGTTCGGGCTCGAGAAAGCCGAGCTGGCAAATAAGGCTCCGGATGTCAGCCTTCTCATCGCCCTGGAACAAACGCCAGTCATGCCTCTGGAAATGAATCCATTGAACGTGCCATGCCATGTCTCTGCAAGCTCTGGCGCTAGCTGCAAGCTACACTGCCAAGTGTAAAGAGTCAAAGGGAAGAAGCAACCTGTATGACCAAGGCGCAATTCCGCTCGTGGCCTTGGCGTCTGCCTGCCAACGGGCGAACGAGCGCCAAACAAACCTCTGCTTGCGCTTCACCTGTGCCGTGTCCCGGCCACGGCAACAGTCTTAGCCTGAGGCTTCCACCTCCTCATCGATTCCCTCACTCCACCGCACTCATCATGAAGTCCTGTCACAAACTGCAAATCACGGCAAAACCACAGCAGCCACTTGCGACATCATTTTCTGCCGGAACCCCGGGAAGGTCTCTCTTCCAAGAGAACGATTCCTATTTTTGCGAGTGGGTGTGCGTTTCCGATTACATGCTAACTCGCAAAGATGTATCACAGTCTCGTTCTGCCCCTTGCTGAACAAACTTTTCAACGAGAGCCTCCCAAATTTGAAGAGCCGGCAATGCTCTTCTGCCCTTTCTTTCAGAGGGTAACCCCATAGTTCCACTATCAAGCCACACCGTGTCTGGGCCACCTCAAGTTGACAATGACTGTTGCGCTGTTGGGTGCGCAGCCTTTTCAGGGTGCAGCACCCTGACTGCTTCGCCAAGCTAGCACTGCTACCAAACAGCATCCTGACCAGCATCCTGACCAGCGCCTACAACATCCTGCCTGCGTAACCAAACAAGCACCACCTGCAACTGCCCCCCCCTCACCTTGAGCACATCAAAGAGCAACCTCACCTCAACAGCACTTGGCTCAGACACACCTTGAGCAAACCTAACAGCACCTTGATCAACACCCCGCATTGCAAAACAAGCACCCTTGAGCACTCCCTAAGCACCACCCTGACCAGCACCTACAGCCCCAACTTGGCCTGAACTCGCAAAACAGGCAGCCCCTCTTAGCAGTACCTAGGACATATAAACACCTTCGTCTTTTTTTTTTGGGGGGGGGGAAGGGATTGGGGATTCAACGGGGCTGAGCTCGCGCACGACCCACTCCTGGCCATCAAGGTTGGCCTTGGGCGTCGCCAAGCCCAGGCGCAGCATCACCTGCTTGTTCTTCTTCCTGGACTTCACCTGTCCGACAGTGCCACACATAGAGACGCCAAACATATAATTATGATTAATTATGGGTATGATTCGTGCTGAGACATGGCAGTCGCGCCCGAAAGAGCGATTTGCAGTTCATGTGCGAAACTCAAGGCTCAAGGGGCATTCCTTGTTTCGGGTATGATGCTTTGATGTGTTGTGTTTTCTCGGTGGACTGTGCTTTGCACACGCTCTACGAGGCTCACCGAATCTGAGCCATCTTGAAACCCCAGCTCTGTTCAATGTTCCTGGGCTCGAGCTCACAATGCAACACAGTGAAATCATCATACGGAAATGAGCAAGTTCCCATGCCCTTGGCTCGTGGGTCCATAAAGGGACACTCGCTTCCAACCGCCCGCCGAATCCGCCATCCGCCAGCCAGATTCGCCTCTCCGGGCGGGCACTCATGGCAGTGCCGGCACTCCGCGCCGTTCAGGCATCCCGAGGGCTTCCAGAACCACGCGCAGGGCCGGCACTCGCCTCTCGAATGGCTCACTTCGAGGGCTGTCAACTGTTAGTATAGGTCCCGATGAAAGGCACCTGAAACGAAGCAAGGCTCTGGCAGCTTCGAATTATTAGGTCAGGAGTGCGGGGTAATCCACTTGTGCCTTCCTGGGGTGAAGAATCACACATTGGAGTTAGCGCTCAGCCCAGGAGGATAGCCGGGAAATTGGGTCCGAGAAACTAGCTGCGGTCCTTTCACCCGTTTTTTCTGTGGAAACCAGGCAGCTCACTACTTCCAATGGTCTGCAGTTTGGACCCCTTCCCATTCAATTCGCTGAGCTCTCGGCCGGTGCCATGCAATTTGCTGCCTTCGCTGGCGGGCTTGTGCGTTGATGCCTCGACACGGTTGGGTCCAATGACAGCGGTGGGAGCAAGAGCTGTCCAGCGTCCCTCAGATTTTACAAGCTTGCTACCGTTTAAGGCTGCGATCGCATGAACTCGCCTTGATTGCAGCAAACTTGTGACATGCAACTTGAACAGACTGCTCTTGTATGATAGTCTGTGCGACCCGCCTGCAGCGGCAAAGTCAAGAAGATGCCTGGCATGCTAGCGCGTCAATATCCTAATGTAGGCTTGCTTGTGACAAGGTCCAACAAACGACCTGAACAAACGACCTGACTCTGGTAACCGCTGGCCATGGGGCTCTTAAAGTCAACGTCCAAGAAAATCAATGCAGTGCCAACTTCAGCATCTGCCTTTTGACCCCGCCCCCTCCGAATTTGGGGAAATAGCCCTTGCCCCAAAAGGGCACACGTAAACCCTGTCGCAGGCTTCGCAGGCCTGGTGGCATCCTTGGGGTGGCAGGGTCATCTTGCTCCGAGCTGGCGGCCTCTGTAGAGCCTGCGACCATCTCGGGCGCAATAGGTCCAGAACAGCTTTCTATTTGTTTGGTGCCGTGAAGCAAATTAATTAGGGTACCAAAGGGTGGGAAGGTTGGGGTTGGAAAGTGAGGTGTGTTGAGAGCGGCACCTCTCAAAATAGCAACATGCTCCTGCTGATGTCCAGTTGATTTGATACAATTCTAAAAAACGGTCTGCAGAGTTGACCGAAACATGAAGCGTGCCATCTGCCTTCACCCAGCCGTATTACAGTATGTCAGCGTCAGATGAAGAAGCTCCAAATTATGTTGACTCTTTCAAATGGGATTGATGTCCTCCCGCAAGGGTCCTAACGGATTTTGAGCACCGGTCACCTAAGTAGTTGAGACTTAGCACCAGAAACCGTAGGGCTGCTTAAATTCAAAGCGGGCATGCCCTTGGCAGCTTGAGAGTTCTTTGAAACGCAGCCAGCCGTCGCCTTGTTCGGAACCTTCTGCTTCGGCCTGTGGCAAAGCGACGTGCCAATGTCCAAGGCACAATTAGCCCCACTCCGAGTACCTGAGTGCCCTCTTACCTGCAAGTATGGAGGGCCCGTTTCATGAGGTGTCCAAGGCTGAAAGGAAAGAATGGATCGGGGAATGAAACCCTGCCGCGGTCTGTGTCAAAAGTAAATCAGAAGGCAAGCACTTTGGAGTGACCCACGTAGCAGATTTGGGCTGGGTTGTTTAAACGATTTCTGCCAACGTGGCACAGCAGCTCAATGCAAACGTGCTCGACCAAACCGTGAGACACGAAGACTGTCCTGAAATCCAGCTCTGGAAGGGCCCCCATTTTGGACCCCACTGATCAAAACAAGCGCCTGCCTGGCACCAGAGGCCATTCTTGCCAAAATCAATTGAAGCCAAAAGCCACGCCTGGTCCGACATGCAGAATTTGCCTGAGATGCATCACTTTGCAATGTATTCAAAGCCCGCGGGGTTGCCACGGTGTGAGGGACCTGCTGAGGGGGTTCTGCGGGCATGATAAAATCTGCTGAGTTTTGATCAAAAATATTCTGGGCAACTTGGGAAGAGCAAATGGCATGCGAAGAGCAAATGCTCCGAGCTGCTCAACGCCAGGCGCTGCTCTTCGCGCTCCTCTGCAGTAGGCTTGGGGGTTGTCAGGCCTGAGCCACTCAGTTTGCAACCGCAAGAAACATGGCACTCGGACCAAAGGAGCGCACCAAGCCGCATGAAGGCAGACCTGAGCGCCAAGAAACAATGCCAACACCTGATGAAGCGCTACAACCTCCGGTCTTGTTGAAATGCAGCCATGCCACTTTGCTTTTTTGCGACTCTTCAGCTCGTCTTTGGGGCACAGGTGGCAGTGAAGGCAGTCCTTGCCTGAAAAAAAGCAAAGACTGTCTGCAAGCCAACTGAATGCCTGATGCCTGATGCAAATGCGAACCTCAAATTGAGGCCATGTCAAAACGGGCTGACCACTGCACTGGACACCTGCTCAACTTCAGCAAACCCCATCGCTGGCAGAACATCTATTTTGCAGTGGTTTGCCTTCGGGATAGCTCAGTCGCATAATATGGTTGCGATTGGAGACTTTGCAACAGTTGGCAGTATACTCTTGCATAAGCTATGCGCCGCACTCATCAAATGCTTCGCACTGTGGTAAACCATGCCCCGACCAGGAGCAGCCAAACTACGCAAAATGGAACCCCAAAAACCGCCGCTTTTAGAGGGATCTCCTCTGTTTCTGCGTGGGGCTCCCTGAAAAAAATCCACGGGATCGCCACCGTAGCCAAGTCTCCATTCTGGCAGGACCCGGGCTTCCAGTACCAGGCGCACGGCTTGCCTCGATGCCCAGGGGTCAGCGACAAAATGGCACATGGCGCAACATGGCGCGACCCGGTGTTTCGGGTTCCCGATATTTCTCCTTTCAACATCACCCCGCCAGAAGAAAACTCTCTTTTAAATAGGGGATGCCCAAAGTTGTGGCTTTCCTTTGGGATTTACCCGAAACATGTACTGTCAAAAACCACACATCTTGCTTGAAAGCCGTCCATTGGGCGAGTGGCAGCTGCCCTCCATGTGCAGCGTGGACCCGTGGCTGGGGGTGTCTTGCGGCGGGTTCAAGCCTGGCACTGATCTCGCGCTTCGCCGCGACGTGGCCGGGGATTAGCTAAGAACTAGCGGTAAACAGAGACTGGAAAACCGAGCGGCTCAAAATTCAACTGACCGAATCCCCTCGTGCCTTGCCTTGCTATGAGATGTGTCGCACCCGGCTGACAAGCATAGAAACAAACATATACCTTTGGGAGTGTCATGTTTCATAAGGAAACCAACATGAATCCCACACTTTTGCCTTTTGAGCGTTTGGGTCATCGACAAAATACCGCCCTCACTGGCCGCACCTGGCGGGAAGTGCACCAGCTTGCCAGTGCGGCTCACAACCTGCAACGGAGCGCGGAAGCTCAGCCGTTGACCCCATGGACGGCCCCACTCTGGTTTTGCTAGCTGGCCCCGTATGAATATGCCCCGCTAATGAGGGGATACACTTGCCACAAGAACATCCCGGGCTAACAGTAACAGTAGCTTCAGGTGCTGAAATCCTTCTTGCGGGGCTGCGGTTTGGGGGTCGAAGGTGAACATGGCTTTGTTCTGAATTGCTTTCGGGAATTGTTCAATGCAAAGGGACATGTCTTGACACCTGCCACATGCCGCCGAAGCGCCGAGGACGGGCTTGTGGGGCTCGCCGGCTCATCGGGGATGTTGTTCTGGTGTGCAGGCCGGAATCCAACCCCGGGACAGGTTGTGCCTTTTGGCCCGCCTCCTTGAAAGAATTGAAGAGCCCCGTTTACGGAGCACTTCTCGAGTCTTCCCAGTCACTTATTTCCCTCCAAGGGGTGTTGTGCCAAAGTAATCGGACACAAAAAGGCTAATCCGTAGTGAGAACCCTGCATTTATTGACCCCACATTGTGCCAAGTTGTGTACCAACGCTCGGAAAACTCATCAATATAATCACGCAGAAAACCAACGGAGCTCGGACATAAATGCCGACGTTTTCACAGCCACCTGTAGAGGCAAGAATGATATTTCCCAAACTGGCTTGCGCTCTTTCCGCACGCAATCTCAAGTTGTTTGAAGAACTTGGGTGTTGAAGAGTTGCTTCCAGGGACGGGAGACTTGGCTTGCTGCAACATCACAAGGCTCATACCTTAGATGTGCCTCGTATACCTCACCGCCCAGCTACATGACATATCTTGACCCCATAGTTTGCTTTGCTGGCGGCAAAAGCTGGATGTGACCACGAGTCTAGGCAGCATTGCCCAGTTCCTGCCCCTTTAAACGAACAGCTTCTCTTGTTTGGTCGGATGCGCGGTTTCCCAGCTCCAGGCAAAGATCATCGTAGCTAGGCCTACTAGAAAAACTAGAGCCCGAAAGGGTTGGGGTGAAGTAATTCTTCTCGGAGCAAGTTTGAGTTCAAGCAAAGAGCATCACCGGCTTTGCACTCCTTGCCTCGAAGCGGAGGGATTTGGCGGAACCGGAGGGCTTCCTGAGCTCGGAACTTTGGTGCACGGAAAACTCCTGGCCTATTTGTCAAATGCGCCTGGCTAAAAGTGGGACACAAACTTTCGCTTTTTTGGCGGCTTTAACTTAGCTACTGTTGTTGGCCGGAGTTGGGCCTGAAGCGGGCCAGCGAGGCAACTGAGCACTTATGTGGAATAAGCGCTTTCCATTGGAGCATATTGGGACATAGGGCAGCACTTAGGCAATCCTGAGGCAGCTGCGCGATTCCAGCTCTTCAGAAATGCTTGCGGGAGAACCTCGCCTTGTCTTCGCTGTTCAGGGAACTTGCAGTTGCAGCATCAACAAAGAACAAGGACAAAAATGTCAAAGATGCAGCCAACACGCCAGGGCTTCGTGTAATCTGCGTCAGTAAGCGGTGTTTTTTGCGACGGTGCGTGAAAGCAGAATTGATTGCAGCAGGATGAGTGTTCTCTGCGACGTAGGTGTTTTCTGCGACGCGGATCGATGCTTTCCGCTGGGACAACCCACCCCCAAGTCTCAGACGGTCACGAGTTTGTTGGGGCGGCGTGCAGGCTTTGTCAGAACAAGTGTAGCACGCCAAGTGCACTTTGCTCCGAAACCACCACTTTTCAACACAAGAACACTGCGCAAAGAAGACCAACCCATGCGTTTCGCGGAGCTTTCGCGCCAATCCCCTGCATTTCCGGGACTGGCAAACAGCCTGCGCGCGCTGTTTTTGCTCAGACGAATTGCCAGAAGGCAATTTGCAGCAGGCTTTCGCAGGTAGTGTGGCTTTATCTGGGGTTGCGGGAAACACATACAGAGCACGCGACACATACACATACACATACACATGCACAAACACACACACACACACACACACACAGAGCCAACTGTTGCAAAAAAACACCGCCGTTGCAAAAAGCACTGATTTCAGCTTGGAATGACACTACTGTCTGGAAAAACACTGCTTACTGCCGCTATTAACACTAGTCCAATGTCAAAGGCACATGCCCCTTGGCGTTACAGGTAGTGTGAAAGATTCATGTCTGGGTCGGACAGGGACTGTCTTGAGCACGGAGTGAACCCGACTACCCCCACGCCCGGCCAAGCCACAGGGTTGTGGGAAGAAAAATCGGTGCCGGCAGCAAGCCTTGGTACGAGTGGCCAGCAATGCAGCAGCCAGAACGCCAATCCAATGAATGAAGCAAGGCGGGAAGGAACAAGCAAAGAAATAAGCATCCTCTGTCGAAATGGGTTGATGGCGGTCGTCGTGGGTCAAAACTCTTGCGAACACCACAAGGCACCGTGCTGTCAAAAACCTCCGCCTGGCGAGGACTTCGGTGAAAGGGATGAGGGGAAGACTTTCATGGGCTCAGCCAAGTACCCCTCAGCCTCCTGGCGCGAAGCGATCAGCAATCGCTGCACACGAAAGGGAGGGATGCAACCCAAATTGCGGGTAGGGAGGCTGCACAAATGCAACCGCGGCCCTGTCCAAAGATTCGTGATTGGCGGGCCCTGTTGGACGAGGCTATAACAGAAGCCTGAAAGTCCCCCCCCCTTTCCAGGAAAAGGGGGCGACGGGCAGGGTGCCTCTGGGCTCCCCATCTCCCGTTTTCGGAAATCCGAAAGTGGCAGCTTGTTGGAACCCTGCCAATGCAACATGGATATATTCAAACTGTTTTTCAAGCGATTATTGACAAACAACAACCCCCCCCCTTTTTGGGCAAATCACGCCTTTTTTTTGCGGTTCCATGTCGGGGCGGGGCGGGGGCCATTGCAAGGGATCCGATCCCAGCATGTTTCCACTGAGTTGGGACCAACAGTTGCTCAGTTGCCCTAGGGCCAACTACCGGGAACGATGAATGCCACCAGTGGAGTGGATGCCTTTATGCCAGACTTGCCCCTGAGGAATGCCCCTGGCACCAAGGGCTCCTTGTTTGGCGACAGGGCCGTGTTTGCGTTCCAGCTGACCGATGGCAGGTTGGCGAATTCCGGCATGGCCTTGGTGACTTGGTGCCCGCAAAACATTCGGAGCCACGGCGAGTTCGTCTTTTTGCCCCTCCCTCATAGGCCAGGGTACTTAGGTGTGCTTGGCAAACAAGGCAATGGCAAGCTTCTACGTGCCGCTTTTGCCTACCAATCGAATGCAAATGCAGCTATCGGAACAAGGTCATGTGATCCCTGCGCAGCCCCGGGTTCATAGCAATGTCCAAATCTGTCAAGGTGCGAGTCCGTTGTTTCTCGGGTGCCAGGTTGCCGTCAGCTGAGCCGAAACAACTGCACGGCTTCTTTCCAACGCAAACTTCCAAAAACCCTCCCAAAGCAATGTGCTTGCTTAATGAAATTGACTCAAAGGGAACACAGCGAACCAGGCCTTTGTGAGAATTCCCACCACTACAATGTAATTGTGAAAGTATGGGGGGGAAAGCGGTGTCTCACATCTATTGCGCAAACTGGTGTTGCTAAACGCCACCAGTTCGTACTACCAAAAGGCCAGGTATCGAGGTACGTGCCAAGGACCTTGGAAAGCAGGCCAAAACAACTGGCCGGCGCAACCAGAGCATCAATCAACCTAAGTAGCCTGCAATGAGTGAGACCACACAACATGCTCACACTCACAAGCTGGCTGCTGAGAAACTGCCTCCCGCACCAACTGCCACGCCGTTTTTCTCCAGCTGGCTCAGCGCAAACATCACTGGCATCTTTGGCTGGTCACTTGGCATTCAAAGGGCTCACTGCTCGGCCCATTTTCTACTTTTCAGCCCAGTCTGGCATTGCCGCCTCGTCCCTGGGCTTGTTCACTTCTCGGGCTCGGCCTCCGCTGTGCCGCATCCCCTGCCTTGTTTGGGCCATCCGCTTCCTGCGACGCTCCTGATGGCTCTCAAAGGCCGCCTCCACATCTTCCTTCTTCGGCGAGCTCGCCTCTTGCACTCGATCCCAGTTGGACTTCCGGTTCTTTTGGTACCAATTCCTGGGCAAAAAGGCAAACACGCGTTGACATGCCACCGCTCGCCCTGCAACAAGAAAACGTTCAACCGAAGTTGTACAAACTGCGCGCGTGACAGCGTTGTTGCAAAAAGAAGCACCCCCCAAAACAGGGTTTACACCTCTTAGGGAGATCCTGCGTGTCAAAAGGCAAGCACTTCAGTGAACACCAAAATCGGCCATGGTGCGCCCACTTCTCCTTGGCTTCGTCCCATTCCAGGCCCGAGCCCAGGTTCCGCTTGCGCTTGTACCGGCTCTTCACATTCAGGGCCTTGGCCGCGTCCATCGTCCTCTTCGCCTGTAGGGTTGGCCAAAGTTAAACATGTCTTAGCCAACTTCAGGTGGCGAACAAGGGACCGCCTCTCGAAAGGCGACCCGGGTTCTGGTTGAAACATATTGCAAGCGACGGCCTTCAAGATCTTCGATGGAGGCCGGCCCAAGACGCGCCACTTGCCATGGCCCGGGAGGATAGGTTTGTCGCCTTTGTGGGTGATGAAGGGCATGCGCACACGCTTCTCCTAGTGAGAATCGTCCAGCAGCTTCACAAGCCGTCCCACAATAAAATTCAAATCTTGGTGGAATTGCGAAGGCAGCTTCCCACTTAAGTTGAGGCAGTTGGCCACCGGAAAATGGAGATGCTTGCGTATATCTTCCCATGGCAGGCAACTGGGTGGCAACTAATCCTCGCCAGCAGGAGAAAACTCACAATGTTATCGACACCATGCTGGTTCTTTCTCCAATGGTATTCAAGCTTGTTTCCATCTTGCCGCCTGTCATGATTCAAAACCGACGCACGATTCGTTCTTTTGTCACTCAAAATCCCGCGGACCCGTCCTGCGCATCCTCCCTCACCTTCTCCTTCTTCGGTTTCAGCGCATCCGGCGCGCCACCCCGGGCATAGTCCACGTCCTCAAGCTCCGTTGCCCACCTGAGCTCGCTACAAGCGAGACAATTCCAAGAGGAGTTGTGCTCAACCCTCATCCGTATGAGGAAACAAGGGAGTTCAGGTGATTTGCTTAGTTCGTGTGTTGCTTGCTTGCAAACGCTTGGGGAAAACAGCCCTTTCAAGAAGCAGAGTCAACACCAAAACTACTCACAGGCAACTAATCTGTGTCCACACTCATGGCCACATGTCACAAGGATTCCTGCTCATGACTGGAAAGTTGTATTGCCGCTCTGGCAACAAAGTCAATGCCGCATTGAAGCTTGCGGGCAACGTATCAAGGGCGCATAAGACTAACCATGACTAAAGCTATGACTAACCACATCACACTAAACTTTCGCAAACGCTCCGCCGAGCGAAACACTGCTTTTGCTGCGGCTCACTTCTGTGACATGAGCAGTAGCCAGCCAGCAAACACACTGAGCACATGCACTTTGCACTTGCTTGGTTCCTTACTTGCTGGTTTCTTCTTATTTGCATGTTGCTGTTCGCTTCTTGTTTGGTTGTCGGTTGGCTTGTTGGCTTGCTTCTTCATTTCATGTTTGGCCAAAGTTCGTTTGTTTCACCCACATTTCCAGGCGCTTTGTGCCCAGGCGCTCCCGCTCGTAGCGCCTCCGCGCCTCCGCCATGAAAAGGCCCGGCTGCTCCGGGCTGGGCGCGCTGGGCGCCCAGCGCCGGAACCCCGCGGCGTAGTCCGCGGGGGACAGGACGTCGTCCTCCGAGTAGAGCTGGTCCTGAGCGAGAAAACCCAAGAAACGGAAAGAGGGAAACCAAAACCCTTTAAAGGGAAGGGGAATCCTCCTTCCTGCAAGGGAACAACAGGAATCCTTCTGTATCGCGGGTTGTGAGGCTGGTCTGTGTGTGGAACAAATTCTCCGGGATGCCGGCAACAAACCCTAAAATTTATTGATGGCTCCAAGACATGTTGGACCTGGCCTTCTGAGGGCGCACGCGGCGCAGGGAGACCCTGCTGTCTTGGCCCGGGAAGAGCTCGATCTTGGAAGGCTTGGTGGTCTTGACGGGCTGACCGGGGCGCAGGCCCTGACGACCTGCCGAGCCAAATGACTCCCATTGGGTGTCTCAAAGGTCCCTAAACTAAGGGAACCAAGAGCACAGGTTCACTTCAATGAAACTTGCCTTGCCCAATATGGTGCAAAGGATGTTTGCAGGTCCTCCATTTTGAGTGATTATATTTTCATGGCCAGTCTGAAGATACTACCCGGCCTTGGCCTTGATCAGACTTGATCTCGAAATGGCGCACCTCTGGCTTCACCGAATCCATCTCCTCGTCACTTTCAGATTCAGAATCCTCTTCGATTGCCTCACCCTCATCTGCAGGTACTGATAGCAACCTCCCTTCTTCTTCCAGGTGCACTTCAAATTGGCCAGCCGACGCTCCAGCCAAATTGTATTGGCTGAATTCAGCTCCCGAAGATCGGCTTGCCGAGGCCGACGCCCCGGCGCGCATCTCGCTGAAGTCGGGGAAAAGTGACGCCATGAATGCATCCACTCGCTGGGTGTTTCGGTCATCAGGCACGTGCACCTTGCGGACCTCGGTAGGTGCTTCCTGGGCAGGAACTTTTGGCGACGGACCCCAGGTGCCGAGGATTTCGTGAAGATCCTTGCTCTCGATACCCTCGTCTTCCTCCTCCTTCAGGCATCCCCTGGACATAAAAGGACGAGGCATGGAACACTTTCTTCATGTTTCACAAAATTGATGTGTTAAATAGCGTCACCGTCAAACCCTGTGTGACGTGCAAAGCCCCTTGGAAGACTTGATGACCACACCTTTCAGCCTCAACAAGTGACCAACACTTGCCTTTCACCAAAACACACACACACACCACTTCAACCGGGATGCCGTCACAAAGGCTGTTGCAAATCTTTGCTACTAATTCTGGCTGGCTATTCCCACCTGAGAACATCAGTCCTTCTCATGGGCCTCATCGACAGGCTTTGGATTTGCCGCCTCCTCTGCCTTGCGCTCCTTCCTCCGCTTCCGCCTCTCTGCGTTGCGAAGCCGCTTCTGCTCCAGCATGTCGTAGACCCGCCGCCGGATCCCGTCCTTGACAAACTCCTTGGCAACCTGTGGAGGGGTTTGGTGGGTCAACACACCTCGGTTTGCCAAAGCTGGCCCCCGCCTGTGATCAGCCCAAAGCCATGGTCAAAACACAAAATACATTGCTTTCCTAGAGGACATGGCAGGGGATTCCCCGGATTTAGATTCAGTCTGTCCGTCCCCCCATTTCCTCCCATACTAAGCAGGAAGCAGGGGACAACTTGATGATGTTGTCAGACTGTCAGTCACTCATGCATTGTGTTTTGAGCAACATACAATTCCCAAACCTGAAGTAGGCAGTTCCCACATCATGGGGGAGCCCAATTTACCTCCAAATGCGCTTGCCCCACTCCACCTGCAGGTTGACACGACCCCTTTTGGATCCTCCTCCAGATCTGCGAAAACACCTGAGCAAGGAACCAAAGAAAACAACTGACTCCCAGATCCCTTTCCGCTGCCTTCATGTCGCTGAGCACGTCCCGCAGCGCCTCCATGCCATGGCGCTTCAGGGCGCTCACTGGCAATGGGTCCGCTGCCATCTTGCGGAACCTTGGGCCGGCAATTGGCGGAACAACCAACAAAACAACACATGAAAAGCCAGCTGCGCTGCGTGTCTTCAAGCTCGAAGAGCGAGGCAACCCTACCGGTAGGGTATCTGGCTGAAAGAGTGTGTTGGCACGCGCGCGCAGAAAACAAAACGCAAATACTGTGTTGTTAGCCTTTTTGTTTGAGTCTTGCTTGGGGGGATGCCGGGAGGATGCCAGGGATGCAGTCTTCACTCAGGTGAGCAACCGCTGCAGGGTCAACAAGCGCAGCTAGCGGCAGCGAAGCGCTAGGATACAACCAACCAACCAACCAACCAACCAACCAACCAACCAACCAACCAACCAACCAACCAACCAACCAACCAACCAACCAACCCACCAACCCACCAAACAATCAAGCAAACAATCAAACAACAGAACAGCACAAACTAACCAACAAACAAACAAAACAAAACAGGCGCAATCAACGACTCAAAACAATTGCAAAAAACAACAAATTAAGAGCAAACAAACAACCAACCAGCCAACCAAACAAACGAACAAGCAAACAAATAAGCAAACAAACCAAAAAGCAAACAAAAACAAACAAACAAACAAGCAAGCAAACAAACTATTACACAAACAAACAACACAAAACAGAAAAAAAAAGAAGAAAAAAAACAAAACAACAAAACAAAGAACACCCACAACCCATTGAAACAGAAAACAAGGACAAACAATCAAAGAAACAAACACACACGAAGAAACCAAATAACAAACAAACATCTAAACGACAAAGCCAACAAACACAACAAAGAACGAACGGAATAAAGAAAGAGCCACACCAAAAGAGCCAAGACCAACAATACAACCACCGCCCCGATGTCCGCTAAGCCTGCTTCAATGTCTACGAACTGTAACTGAGCAGACCTAGGTGGCCAAGACCCAATCCTACCTGAAACCAAAGTTTGGTTGCAACCAATTGTTCTCCATGCCAGAAACGGGCTCCGAATGGCTCCGAACTGTTGCTGCTTCTTTTCCATTTTGAGGTTGGGCACTGTTTGGAACACGACTGTGTGTGTGTGTGTGTGTGCGTGTGTGCGTGTGCGTGTTGGAAAAAAAAAGGCCCCGCACTGAACACCTAGGAAGGATGACTCATTCCTAAACAATTGCGGGTCTAAAGACTTCCGGCTTGCGTGGCTGGCTTCCCTGTCCGCTTCCCTGATTGGAAGGAGGAATTGTATTTGTTGGATCTTTTTGGTGGGCTGCCAAGACTAAACGAGGTTGAGCGTGACCACTGTGCATTCATCCATATTCATCACTGCTGGGATTTGGCTTTGGACGGCGCCATTACCAGCAGAAAAGCTAACGCTCGACTTCGGAGCCGTTCAAAAGGTCACGCATCTGGTTGGTAAATTACATGCTCTGTAGAAGTGTCCGAAAGCAAAAGGACAAACTGCCAAGTCATGACTTCAAAACCTGGATTTCAGGCACGAAAAAGGGAAACATACTCAATGGTCGACCCTGCCCCGCGAAAAAAAATATTTCGCACACGGGGAGGGGGGGAGGTCTGATTGACTCAGATAAAGCAGCTGTTCCCCCGACGATCGTCTCTGAACTGGACAAGAACGGTTAGCTTATCACTGGCCGCGGGGCTGCGACAGGTCCTCCTTCATGATGGTGAGGCGCTTAGCCAGTTGCTTGCCCACCACCTTGTCGCACCTTGGGACATCTGCGCTCTTGGGTTTTGGTGGCCCAGTGCGGTCAAGGCCCTTCGGTTTGGCCTTCTTTGGTCAAGAAAGGGTTCGGACCCACGCAAAGAACGAAGACGACGGGAGTTTCTCAGCCGCCCACTCCGCAATCAGGCCACTTGCCCCCAGTATCGACAAGCTAAGGCTCATAGGTTCAGCATGGCTCAGCCTCACGGACCTCAAACATTGGAAAACCGAGGTTGGCCGGACTTAGGGGAACTGCAGCTTTCATGTTGACGACTGATGAATGGCAAAATTCCGAGCCTCCAATAGTTCAAGGTTGAATGAGCTTCTTCCCTTCTGGTTGTGCGCGGAACAAAAAGGGGCCACTAAGGAACAATATGAAAAGTCAAAGCCGAGCAAAACAAACGCGGCTACTGCCTCGGTCTCAAGGGCGAGTCAACTTTGTCCACTTGCGAGCAGGATGGTTGGGCATCGAAAGGTCGTCTTATGATATCCATCCATCAAGGCACTCCGCTCAACATGCGCCCGCAGTGCGACGAAGTTCACCACTTACTTGGCAGGCATGTGTGCTGTGCTGAGGCTGAGCGGGTGCGCTCGAGCGTGCGCTTTCCGCTCAAGCTAAGAGAAGGAGCGCCAAAGCCTGCCATCTGACCTGCACCGCACTCACAAGCGAGAACCATGCGGAAAAGGCACGTTTGCAAATTTGGCCGGGCGACAGGACTTAGGAAGCTAGGGAAGTGAGTCCTGCACAATAAATTATCTAGGAGGCGTCCTTGCGGATCTCTCTGAAGGGGGTTTCCGCAAGGGAATGAAACGCCTCGTCTATTTCGCTTGTGAGTGCGGCTGGTTCTCGCTTGTGAGTGCGGCCCTTTGGTGGCAGGAACTAACCTGTGATACCGAACAGTCCCAGTTTGGTCTGGCATCGCGAAAGTTTCTAATGCACACTTCCGCCCTTCCATACACCAGTTGGGTTGCTCCAGCTAGGGCAACCTACAAACTGGGATCCTCCCAAAAAGGGTGCCTTGCCAAACCCACCAAGCACATGGTGCGCGGCCAGGCGCTTGGTCACCACCACCTGCCAGGCCACGTCGTGGCGCTCCAGGTAGGAGATCATCTCCCGGTCTGAGGGCTTGAGGCCCTGCCGCCCGTCGATCAACAGGAGCACCCGTCTCAGGTTCTTCCTGCGGCCCAAGATTTGCGATCCCGGCCCTGGAGTCCGCAGGAACAAATGGAAGCCAAAGAGTTGCGCTGAGCTCAAGTTGATTTCACCCAAACTAGCTGTTAATTTCAATGGTTCAGCCCTTCAAGAGTGGTGATGGTGAAGATCTTTCAGCAGTTGGCTTTGACTCATGGGATCAAAGCTTCACTGCTGCTGTGGCCCCTCCGCCCGTTCCACCGGATCCGGCCAGAACCTTGCTGACCGCCTGCCCCTGCCGCCCTCAGTCAGGGCCCCCTTCAAACCTAACACGCGACGAAAACTCAACCATCGGTGGCGATCAGAAGTCCCTTTTGAACATCACCCAAAGAAACTTACATCACAAAACAAGCAACCCTTTCCTCCCCCCCTCCTTGCCTTCTCTGGCTCTTCCCCCGTCCCTCTTCCACATGACCTCACCTTTCCAAGTTAACCCATGCGGTAGTTGCAAGGGAGCACTGGGGCCTGGCGCGGATGTACCACAGGGTGAACTCCGTCCACTGAAGCCGCTTCTCCTCCGGAGC